ATGATTTTATTTTATTTTATGACCGCCGTTGAGCAGTCGACCCAACTTTTGGGTTTACGACTACAAATGTTCAACTGATTGGTTGACTAATGTTCAATGGTATGATTTTATTTTATTTTATAACCGTCGTTGAACAGCCGACCCAATTTCATGGGTTTACGACTACTTACGTTCAACTCCGTAGCCTTGTAATTTTGAACCAATCCAGAAGACAAGGAAACTCCTGGATCAGTACCCCCAGAGGTATTGATTTGTTGTGGGAACATGGAGGACTTTGAAACACGACAGATTTAACGTGCATCAGTCACCATTTACTACACGGGGAGTCTTCGGCACGACCTCTTGGATATGGGCCCAGCGCCCTACCGACCAGGCTATCCCGGCCTTCAATGGTATGATTGAAATGTTCATTACTGAAACTGGACGGAGTACAAAATTTGCATCTTTTAGAAATTTTTGCCACCACCATTACTAATAAAAGAGGCGCGTACTAAATAAACATTAAAATTCAGTTGTTTTTTAAAATCTACGACCTATCAATATTTACAAATTAAATTTGTAAAAAATAATATTTCTTTCATCATAACTATCTAATCAAAGATAAGAACTAAAAAGTTTATATTGAAATAAAATACGATTCGCAAATTCTATATAGGGCAATTCCACGGAAGTGTCAACTTTTAAGTGAAATTTTTTTTGTTTTATGAATTGCATATTTTAATTTTAAAAATATGTTCAAAAATAGCCAAAGTCTACATATTGCCGTTTCATTTTTGATAATTTTAAATTTTTTGAATCTGGCAGTATTCTAAAGTAATAACATGGCTGACAAGTGAATTGTTCACATTTGTGCTCAAATTGTTTTCTTGAAGAATACTTATAAAATAAAAGAAATGTATCCTTCTTTTGCAATATTTTGATAAAAATATGCATATAGAACAAAATTCAAACATTTTAAGTTTAATATAAAAAATAAAAGTAACTTCTTTTACGTCATTCCGTCACATGTCTTAATAATGCATAAATTTCCTGAGAACGAAGATAAAATGTAACATTGGCAAGTTAGATATAAAACCTCTTCAGAGACAACCTAATTTTCAAAGTGTTGAAATTTTTACTAATTCTTACATAAATATTAATCCTGTTTATCATTTACATATTAATAAAACATTTTTTAAACGAAGGCTTTCTTCTACTAAACTTTTTGTCATTCCGTTACAGCAAATAGATGTTAATAACTGCTAGCCAACCTGAGGTAAATTTTCCAAATTCACATTTTACATTGCTTACACATAATACTAAAAGTATAAAATAGTTCAGAAAAATAATAGCTGCAAAATTCGCAGAAACTACCAGTTCTAAGCGGCATGCCAAAAGCTTGGTTGCCAAAATGTCATTCCGTCACGCAAATAAAAAGTTCGTAAAATTTAAAGTTAAAAAGATAGAAAATCCTGTTTTTTTTAGTTTATGAAGCGCATTATGCCAATAATAATGATATGCATGAGAAAAATAATATTTTATTTGAAATTAACATTCCGTCACATATGGAATTGCCCTATATTTAAAGTCTTGAAGCATCCACCACCAATGGTAAGCAGTTGCTTTCGAAGAATAAAATTGAAATAATTCATTAAGTAATTCAATCAGTAAAATGTAGTTAAATATAATTATAAAATTTATTAAACGAAACTGGTATGCATATTGATAAATATATGATCATAAAATTTTAATTAAAGTAATCTTGGCAAGTAACGCCTACTTTTTACTTAAAGCTTTAGTCCTGGTGTGTAAACTGCGTTTGATCATTGCAGCCAATTTTGTATTTTTCCTAAGATAATTTCCCTTTATTGGTTGTAAAAGAAAAATTGAATTCTTCGTATTTCGTAGGAGTTTAACCTTACCTACCTTTGTAAACGCATCATTATGCCATTATCACTTCTCTTTTATACATGCTTAATTTATTTAGATTTAGTAATTAATTGAATTTATTAATTTCAACTTGCTCCACTTTTTAAAAAAAATATTCTCTCGTCGTGGTAATGAATTTTAAGTTGTTTTCAGTTCAATTTTTTTTTTCATTTTAAGTAATATTTCCACCACTATATTTAAAAGTTCGCAATATCATTTGAATAGCAACTTCATTCAGACCAGACCTCCAAGACCAGACCAGGCCCCCCCACGCTTATCATTTTTTACCCTGTCAATTCTATTCAAACTCCAACCAGATGAATGTGAAAATGCCCGTAAAGGGCTGATACACAGATTTCAATAATAAATGAGCCTTCAGACCAGATCAGAGACCATTATAGCCGAGTTCTCAGCTGCAATGTTATCACACCTATATATTACGACAAGCTGAGATAGGACGTCCACGAATATGCTGAAAAGATTTCAAAACTTGATATCATTGATGAAATAATATAAAGTACGGAAAGTAATATATTATATCACGAGAAAGAAGCCAGTAAGGCTAACGAAAAACAGAAAGAGAACTACAAAAATCATCAAATATCTAAGTATTTCAACGAGTGCTATCGCATTTTAAAGGAGAAATGAACTGAAGAGGCAGCATACTGGAAAAGGCAGAAGCTTCTATAGAGACAACAGAGCCACAGCAGAGCCTCTCTTCTTCGATATCGATAGCCAAGCAACTGAAACTATAGCCTCGACATCCTGTTTATATACTGCAGACCAACTTCTGAAATCCTTTAATATGGACACAACTGAAATTCAGAAGACTTGAGTCATCACTGAGATGGAAGTAGACACAGACTCTGACGGCGAACCCAACAGCCTTAAACAATAATAAGCTCCCGCAACAACAGCGGCCACAGTTACTATCTACTCACACGCAGTTACTCAATCTATCTTGCCTGCCTGAAATGTGCCGGAGCCCAGTTCTTGTACCAGTATACGAAGCCCAGATCCGTCCGGCGACCTGCGTCAACTGCAACGGTGAGCACCAGGGCTGTTTTACGGACTGTGGTCCGAGACCCAGGAAGCAGCTGAAGGAGAGAAAGACCCAACCGAAGACAGATACTGCCTGCTTCTTCTTCCAGCCTTTCAAGAAAATGAAAGAACTCTTAAAGGAGGAGGAGCTTGTTAAGCTTCATCGTTTTCTTTTTCATGAGACCACGAATTAGACTTGGAATTCAACTACCTTCATGAAATCATCTCACCTGATAATCTTTCAACTAAAGGAGTGAGAAATATTTTGATTTTATTTAACTTGTGTTCAATTGCTTCCTCAACTCAAAATGATCAATTGCTCCCTCAGCTCTTTATATTTTTGTAAATAATTTTTACTTGTTTTTCTATTTGTAATTTGCATGTAACTCTATTTGTACTTTCAAGTTAAAATTCAGTAATTAAAATAGCAAAGTGCCATTTTCTCCTTTTACGCTATATTTTGCCATTTGTGTTCCTGCCAAGTAATAAGTTTTTTTGCAGATGCCCCAACACACCCCTTAAAAGTTAATATTAAATTAAAAAAATATTTTCTTTTGTCAAGTCTCATAGTTTTTTGGGTAGCAAAAAAAAAATGCAACGTAAAGAAAGGGGATATCTCCGTATCATTATCTGTTGCGCCAACTGCAATCGCCAAGATGCCCAATAGATTTTAACCTTGCAATTAAAAAAAAAACGACATAGATGTTTGTCTGGGGGTGGTTACATATTATACCTTTCGAGTTGGTCCCTTTCTGTAATTTTTTTTGCTTGTTTCGGGCCACTGCCCGGAAGTTGCGATTATTCTGCCACAAATCGCGAAAAAAAAATAAGAAGCCACTTAAAATTGCCATTACATTCTTTGAATTGGAATTTCGACAAAACGCACTTTCAGTATGTCAAATTTAAAGTCCAGACCCGCTTTGTATTTTTTTTGCAACAAGTTTAACAATCAAAGCTCGATTACCTATTAGGCCAGACTAGGCCATGGCCTAGGGCCCCCAATGATTAAGGGCCCCCTTAAAATGAAGTTTTTGAAAGTAAATTTAAAAGAAAAATAAGAAAAATATTGATTTTTTTAAAAAAAAAAATCACTTTTAAATACATATTAGCAAATTACGATAATTAATAATACGATTCTAACTCTTATGATAACAAATTGTTCTACGGAGCGCTCGTTTTCAAAAATGAAATAGATCAAGAGTGAGCAAAGAAGCGTCATGTTTCAAAAACGATTAGACATGCTAAGTTTGATGTTTATCGAATCAGATGCTCTCCGTGAAATTAATTTTGATAACATTATAGATGAGTATATTGCAGGAGAGGAAAAAAAGATTTTTGAATATCAATTTTATAGCAGAGTTGATTTTGTAAAGTGTTAATAAATTTCAAATTTTTCCAAAATGTTATGATTATTTTTTAGTTCTAATTTAACAAAATAAAGTAAAATTTAATTTATTATTATTTATTTTAATTTTAAATATACTTTCTTAAATGAAAAGATATATAAATACTTTTATATTTGAATAAATAAAAAATATACGAGAAAAAAAATTCATCTGAGGGCCCCGAAAATTTGAATGGCCTAGGGTCCCGCGTACGCTTAAACCGGCACGGTTAACAGTTACTTACTTATCTCGAACGTTTCCAACGCTAAACGTTAAACGTTTCCGCTTCCAACGTTAAACGTTTCCAACAAAAAAATTTACGTTTCCAACGTTAATTTTTTTTATTCCAGAGTACTTCCATACTATGTAATACTATGGACTAGTACTATAGTACTATACCTGTCCTGCACACCCTCATAATTTCAAATTTCTAAAGTTTGACAGTTTTCGCGTAGCAAAGCAAAATATAACGTTAAGTTGAAAACACCCAAAACAGCGGCCGTAGTCCTAACGATTCTTTAACATGGAGACATTCATCAGATTTCTATGAAATATTATTCTGAAACTCTCGAACAGCTTTGATTTTAAAAATATAAAAGCAGTTATTAAGGGTTGTTATAAGGGAACGCCCTGTATATCTAAATATTAACATCTGTACATTCTTACCTACATCAAAGGCCCGGTCGTCCAGCAATTTCAAATACTTTATAGCTGTCTCATTTTGCCTCATGAGTGCGCATGCGTAGGCATACAGAGAGAGGGCGTACAAATTGGGATTGGGATCTTCATGTAGGCATTTCACGGCATTCTTAGCTTCCCCTTGATCATTCCTAACCATACCTGATTCAATCATCGCGATCAAGACGTAGGCTGTAAGAGGAGACAATGAGTGTTCTCCTTCAGTCAGACCACCCTAGAATTAAAACAAAATCTTCACTTATGCCTGATTTTACATATTTTTGATTAGACTTAGCCCTTTCGGGACGCGTGAGTCATAAATGTATTCGTAAGGTATCAGTATCAGGATGTTAAAAAATAAAAAGCGGTAGCTCACGTTTGGGCATAGCTAATTAGCATATATGGCAGTACTTTTACTTTCGTTACTTGTACCGCCGGTACAAGTTAAAAGTACGTACTTTTACTTGTACTTCGTTACTTTTTAAATTTAGTACTTTTACTTGTACTTTCGTTACTTTTTAAAGGAAAAAGTACAAGTATTTGTAACGAAAATATCGAATGAAATCGTTACTTTTTTCTAAAACTCGGTAAGCTTTGAAAAAAAAATTTTTTTTTTTTTAAAATAATATTTATGTTATTTTTTAACTTATAAAATTAATGTGCAATATATATGCATTAACAGCCAACTTCGTGTTCAAATACCTTCTGTTTCAACTTATACTGCACATTCAATTATTTTTTACTAGCTCAAATGTCACAAAGCTAACTGAAACCCCGTGTTTGCTTTGTTTACGTTTGTGCTTTTAAAACGCGTTTCTAAAGAGTAAAACAATTTTAAATCAATGGTAATTTAAATAAATAAAAATAATAAACTAAAAATTAAAATCAATAGATAAAATTTCTTTTTCGTGCAAATCCATAAAAAGTTTGATATTAAAATTATATTTGATTTTAAAATTATATTATACGATTATATTATAAAATTATATTAT